TTGCAGTTGCAGTTTGATTTTTCATAAGAAATTACACAAATATATTTTCCATGTTAATTTGTGCGAGTCAAGCGTTAATAGGCATATTTTTTTAAGAACACTTTTTTCTGTGGGCACAAAATTTGATGCAGTCTAATCGGCTTCTTTCTCACAACTGATCTCAATTACTGTCCGTAGAGCGTTTTTTGTTTATTCATAGCTTTTGGATAAAGCTCTGAAAAGCTTTTTCGAATATGTATACATACATATGTGAACTGAAACTACATATGTTCTCGAATGTATGTTCTCGTATGTATGTATGTATACATGTTATTGGATATTATTTGCTTATCAGGAGGTCTTGCGCTTCTTTTATTTAGATTATTGCTTTGAAGTGGCTTTTTGTTTATGGTAAACAATCTTCAGCGAGGTTCAATTCATTTTGAGTTAACGAATTTTTAAATTAGTTTTATATTTTTGCTTGTGAGTGCTACGAAATACGAATTTTAATATTCTTTTTATATTAAAATATGAAAAATTTAACATGGATCTTTCGAAATCTTCGCGATTACTTTGCGACTTTGCACGTGAAATGTGGCTACTATTCAATCCAAGATTTTGGAAAATTCGAGCTCCAAAGAGGGGAAAACAGGCTCCAACGTTAGTACGAAAAATCTACAATTGTCATATGATTAACTTCAAACTTCGTTTGTATACTCTCAGAAAAATTCCAAGAAAAACTGTATACTAGGTATTTTGAAAAAGGAAACCGCGTCAACAGCCCAAACGGCAAGAGCTATGAAGCTGAAATTTGGGCTCGAGGATCCTATCATAGTGAAGGTGCCCATTAAGAAGGGATTTTGGAAAATTCGAGCTCCAAAGGGGAGAAAACGAGCTCTAAAGTTTGTTTGAAAATTCTGCATTTCTGCACCGATCAACTTTAAATTTGATTTTTATAATTTATAAAAGAATACAAACAAAACTGCATACTCGGATTTTTGAAATTTGTGGTGGAGCTTGAATTATTGGGGATTTAATATTTATTCACCATTTCAAGTGAAAAGTTTGTGTTATAAATTTTTTCCAATCGATATCAAATTTGGGGACTGTAATCTACGTAACTAAATCTATACCTTGGCATTCAAGGATTTTCAAAATATGCATTTTACAAATGCAGGCAGAACAAATAATACAAAATATCAAACAGTTGGGGACAACTAAGTATACACAACACACACACACACACATACAAGCAGCTGTTCGTGTAGTTGCGTGCAAACGATTGAAATAGGCAAAGCAAAATGTGAGATACTAATGTGTGAATGTACACACATACATACATATGTACGCATCTATGTACATGTACACATCTATGTATGTATGTATGTATGTTCATTCGTCTTGCACTGACAGAGCAAGAAATGTTAATTAATTACAAATTATTCAACTTTTTTAAAAGTAAGTAATTACCTTATTTAACAAATATGGTAAAAATAACGATTTAAATGTATAATGAAAAGAGACTTTAATAATAAACGTATTTTCATTTTGCGGAAAAGAATGAAGAATATTATTACTATTTCGGGCACCTTAGCTTGCGAATATGATGGGATCACGTTGAGGACCTTTTAAAAGATTTTTCAACACAAACTTTTCCATTCGGATTAATATCGATAATTTCTAAATTCAGTATAGAAACGCAATCTAATGTGAACCAGTTATGTATTTACAATAACGGCGCACATTGTCAATCAGGCAACTCAGTTTGCTGGAAGCGCAAATAGGCGAGTACTCAAAACGTAATGTACCAAATATTTGCTGCAAGTTGTTTACAGAATATATTTTTAAGCCTGCATTTTGAGATACTTGTATGTATGTACATATTTATATAGAAAGCAGTAGTTGAAGTGTGGACAAGCGCAATACTTGTACCTTTATTTCAGAATGCGTGTGTAGTCACTTTTGTTGGTCTCCTGGATGTTGACAATGAATGACATGCCATCACTCAGCGCAGTCAACGCTTGTCGGTATGCGCTGCATGGAGCGCCGGATATGCCCCGTTTATGTGCTGTTATTTACAATAGCGCATTTTTACACATATTTTTTCAAAGTCAACAACATGATTTTCGCGCAGCTTGTGTGGCAGGATGTGGCACTCGTTGTGGGGCAGAGCAGGGCAGAGCAGGGCAGGGCAGGGTTGGGGAACGCACGTCGCGTCGTGTGCATAAAACTCAACAGCAAAACAGCATTTACATTTTAAGTAGTTTTTAAATCGCTGCAGACAAACGTCAGAGCTGCGTCAGAGCTGCGTCAGCGTGAGCGTCAACGTCAGCATCAGCATCAGCGGCAGCGTCGTGCTGACAATTTATCATCGCTTGCGGTGCCAAGGATGGGATATGGATGAGGACGTGGTTGTTTGGCCCCAAGATGTTGGGTTGCTACAATTTTGATTAATTGTTTAAGCAGCTGCTTAAACCAATAATCTGTTGCGCTCAAACGCTCGTTCGTTCTCTGCTTTCAACTTCTGCATTGGCCATTTGCGAAGGGGCATTTTAATTTAATTATCTAGACTATAGAGTCAGGCACAGCCGTCCTTGTAGTAAATGGGTAACTCAAGGTGATCCTTTTTTTGTGGGATTATTACTTGAGGATTATATTCAAATATTTTCAATTTTTTTTTTTTTCATTCATCTTTATTCAAGAATTGTCGTAAATTGGACAGTTGTCAAATTTTATGATAAGGTTGACCTTTTTTAATCATGCTATACTTTCCAGAAAAACTATTCGTACAAGCTCAATGCGTAACTTTGTCGATCTAGAGAAATGTGTTATAGTGAAGATATCACCACGGGTATTTTATTAGTTTTGTTTTGGTGCATTTTTTATTCATCCAAGTCATTAACGAACTAACTATTACAACTAAAAATGTAGAAAAAGAGCTGGGTTTCATCAAGAAAAGATACGCGTGCAAAATGCTAGGAAGCAACGTGTTTTTTTGTTAAGCGTTTCTGCTTAAGAGCCTCTAATAAAAACTTTGCAATTGATTGGACTAATTTTTGTGGGTTACCAGGCGTTATTATGAACCATTCCTCCCACAGGATCATTTCATTTCATTTCCTTCGATGTAATATTATGAAGAAGGCCCGGACGCTCCAGAATTTTTCATAGCTGTTCATTTGGAATCAGGTCTATCAATTGCGGTGGCTTATTCCAAAAGTGGTCGCTCAGTCCTAATTTCTTGGCACTTTGTTGCAAATTTACTCGAAAGATGTTCAAGTCAGAATTATTGTCCATTATGGAGTCAACAACACAACACAGGATTCCCGCCTCTACATGTCGCTGCATATGATTAACGATCCTTAATTTCAAACATGTAGAACTTCCAGTCATGACGAAAAATTACACTGGATCTTCAACGATATGTTTGGCATTCATTTTATCGACTGTTGATATTAGTGGACGCGTATCTTATCTTAAGTTGCTATTGTATAAATAATTTGCCAAGGGCAACATTTAGATGAGATCCATGGGTCACACATCGAGATCTTGAAGCGCAGAGCAGTCCTCCATTCACAATCCTGGGGCGCCTGGCCTACACCAGAACTGCAGGGTATTGATTTATGGGCATTTGTAGGTGGGTGTGTGCGTCTGTTTGTCTTGCCCGCATGCAAATAAAGTTGAAGTGTGTTAACATGTCAGACGGCCAAATGGCCAAATGGCCAACTGCCACCCTTCACTGCATCTGCCGTCGGGACGTTTAAAAGAAGAATACTCAATTAGTTGGCGTTGCTGCTTTTGGTGTCGCTGAACGGTTCGTTAAGTTAATCAATGCCCTGCACATGGCTGTTGCCACTGCTGTTGCTGCCACGCAATGTGTCAACATGGTGCGTGAATGAAAGTGCAACTGCATTTCCTGCTCTCAGTGCCGCTGGCGCTGACGCTGGCGCTGGCGCTGGCATGCGGCTAAGTGTGCATTAATTATTTATAGTATAGGCCGGGCAGTGAATGAAAAGTGACCGGGGCCAATGAGTCGTAGCTGTGATGAGGACTGGACCGCCTTTTCTTATCGCACCTCCTGCAGCAGCAGCTGCAGATTTAAAGTGAATATAATCCAGCTTAAAGGACGCAAGTGGCAGGGGCTGGTAATTCAATAAATTTTTGTTCACTAACTTTGCAGACGTCGGAAATTGCAACGGCAAGAAGCAATGCAACTAATTTCGCCTCCTTTTCGTGCGCTTTTCCTCACCCACTTGAGGCACTTGCCACAGCAACAAACTAATAACTGCCGCTCAAAAGTTTCATTAAGAAATTTATGAAGTGGTGTGCGAGCGCGCGGCTTTTTGCATTTTGCCAATTTTTATAGCTATACTTGTACTATACGTAGTAGATGCAAACTTTCAACTATTTGCTGACAATCGAGACTCCCTTTTGGCGCCACTTGAAGCATTTGGCTGCGAATTTTCTGCATCATTTCAATTCCGACTTTTGCTTTTGGCCTTTTTGCCTTTTGTCGCTCTACTCGCCTTGGCTGCTTTGGTTTGCTTGCTTTGCTTGCTTTGGTCGCCTGGCTCGCTTGCTTGATAAATTGTCTGGAAATTACAAATGGACAAGAGGCCAGTGGCTTTTAAGCGAATGTCTTAGAGGGCGACGACAACAAGTGGGGGCCGCCACATTTATGGTAATTTCAAATAAATGTATGGCCAACGCACTTTTGTGTAGCAGATTTTAAGGCGCTTCCTGTCTCTTTACGCTGATTTATGTGGCACACAGCGGGCGGACAGTCAAGAGGCGGTACAATGGTAATGATGACGACGACATTTTTCGATACTGTTCTACTGTTGTTGTTGTTATTGTTGGTGGTTGTCGCGTTCACATTGTTGACTTCTAATGGCAAATGTCGACAAATTTGTTTTAATGGTCAATATAATAGATTTAATGCTTTGATTTATGTGAAGATGTCGCAGGAGCCTTTGAGTTAACTGACTTCAACCGTCATTGCCTTAATTTTTTCGGTTTGGCTTATGTCTCAGTCTCATTCCAGATTTCGGCAGGAAACATAGTACAAAATTTTCCCGTAAAAAATGGCTTCTCCTAAGGATTGCACCTGCCAGCCTTCGCCGAAACCTTTGGCTGGCGCTAATGGGTGAGCAATATTTATTTATTACAGTGAAGGTACCACCAGAATAATCGCGTGAACTCGTTCACCATAGTACTGTCTTCTGCTCTGGTCCTTTGCTGGAGACCGTGCAAATGTCGGGTATGTTTGCCGATGGCAAATCGTTTGTGGATATGAAGCTCCGCTGTAAAGCAGAAAAGACTCTGAAGGACTTTCACACATTTTCAAATTGCAAGAAGAACGATGGATCACTGAAGTTCTTGCAGATGTTCGTGGAAGTGCGTTTATACTTGTATATTTTATTGAGAAATATTCGTGATTCACTGTCATTTGGTATTCCACAGAATCACTTTGATCCTCAGGGCGCAGATCTGGAGGCTTTCGCTCCGACAGACTATAAGTGTGACCCGGCATTCCTCTCGCAGGTATGCGATGCAGACCTAAAGAAATTTGGCACATATCTGAATGAGACATGGAAGACGTTGTGCGTTCGCGTTAGGGACGATGTAAAAAAGAATCCAGACTCTTACTCTATTGTTCATCTGCCCAACCCGACGATTATCCCCGGCGGCCGATTTACGGAATACTACTACTGGGACTCCTATTGGATTGTGCGCGGCTTACTCTACAGTGACATGGACAAGACGGCGCGCGGCATGATCGAGAACTTCTTGTATCTGGTGCGCACCTATGGGTTTGTTCCCGGGTGCGGACGCATTTACTGCTCGGGTCGTTCCCATCCTCCAATGCTGATACAAATGGTGAAGGCATACGTGGAATTTACAAACGATGAAAAATTCGCTGTGGATGCTCTACCGATGCTTGAGAAGGAGTTCGATACATTCCTTGAAAACCACTCGGTGGAAGTCAAAGGTCATACGATGTACGTTTATCGCGACTCCACGACGGGACCACGACCGGAAGCAATGTGCGAGGACAGAGCCAATACGGATAGCATGTGCAACGAAGACGACAAGGAGGGTTTCTACTCGGATGTGAAGGCTGCTTGCGAGTCAGGGCAAGCATTCAGTTCGCGTTGGTATATATCCGAAGCTGGAACCAATGAGGGGAGCGTGAGTGACACGCACACCACCTGCATTGTGCCGGTCGATCTGAACGCCATACTTTTCCGAAATTGCAAGATCCTGGCCGAGTTCAATGCGACTGCGGGCAATGCCGAAAAGGCAAACGAGTATCAGATCAAAGCCTGCGAAATGCTAAAGGTGAGTGCTGCTTACAAAATGAGAGGCATTGATCGACCAATGTGTGACAACTTTTTAAAAGCATTTTTAGATAATAAGTAGCATATAATACTTGTATTTTTGCTAAGCCAACTACAATGTTGATTGATTTTCCATTTGCAGGCCATTAACGATGTACTCTGGAACGACTGCGCCGGAATTTGGTTGGACTACGATTTGAAGAATAACAAGGCACGCAACTACTTCGCAGCCTCGAACCTGTCCCCACTGTGGTTGCGCGCCTATGGCATATGTGACACAGATAAGATTGCTCAGGCGGTAATGAAATACATTAAGTTCAACAAGTTGGACAGCTACCCAGGCGGCGTTCCGGCGACGTTGTACAACTCGGGCCAGCAGTGGGACTTCCCTAATGTATGGCCACCGCAGATGTACATGATTATCGAGGGACTGGAAGCTTTGGGCACGTCCGAGTCTAAGGAGCTGTCTAAGAAGTGGGCACAACGCTGGGTCCGCCACAACTATGAGGCATATCAGCAGAAGGGAGCCATGTTCGAAAAGGTTGTAGTTGAATGCCTTTTCTACTCTTGACAATTATATGATCCTGTTGCTTTTGTTTTGCAGTACAACTGTGAGGAGTTTGGTGGCGTTGGCAGCGGTGGCGGATACGAAGTTCAGACGGGTTTCGGCTGGACTAATGGTATTATCATCGAGTTTATGGCCAGGTATGGACAATCACTGTCGCTAACCGATGAGAGCGATGACAAGTGTAAGTGCAAAAAGCCGGATCAGACAGCTTGCACGCAGACACGCGGCTCGCAGGACGACTCGAATGGCTTGCCAGCCGGCATCGCTGGTTGCACACCGAGCGCACCCGGTGGTGCACTGAGCTGCTTCCCCAGTGATGGGCAGGCGGCAAACGGAGGTTATAGCGGATGTAATTCCCCAACAAGGGAGTGTGAATAAGCCGTTAGACGAAAGCCATAGAATCTACGCTTCCATCGGCAATAGTACCGTATATATATCATTGAGTCTCACTGATTTGTAGATGCAGAGTTGGCTGACTAAAGATTAACACATTTTTCAGGGGAAGCCAAGTCGGCAAATATAATTTCAGAGATCACTATTTATAGAGAACTAAATCCTCAGAAATGCAATAAAAACCGATTCCACACAGACAGTAACTTAAAATAAATTTCTTTAGGGATATCTTTTTCCTGTTCACAAGGAGGAAAGGAAAGGAAGATTGGGGAACATCTCAAGGAAGAGTGGTGCCCCAATGAGATATATACGAGACCATTTAGAATTAATTTTTTTTTTAGCAAGCTGAGATGCGCGTATGTCCGTTCGTTTTTTGGTGTGTGTGTTACAACGAAAATTTAAGGACCGGAAGGTGTTGTTACTTTTAATACCCAGATGACTGAGGAGTACTTGACAGTCAGGGGAGCGCTCAGTTCCAAGACGTGGATGGACAAGAAACATTGTTGCATAATTTATGTAACGTGAACGAAGTAAAGGAAATAATTATTTTGCTTTAGTAAAAAATACCAGAAATTACTAGAGTTATGGGCATAGTTATATGGGCACAGTTTAGCATAGTTATGTGGACTCTTCTCGTCATACTGATCAAGAACATATACACCACGGTTTTACACGGCTTTGATTTAACCACTGTTTGAAAATAAAAACTTTTTAATTTTTTTACACGATTTTATTGAAAATAATACAACACAAATAAATAAAAACACACACAGCTCACAAATAACTAGAAACCATTCTTGTATGGGTCGTTACAAAGAATTATACAAAGAGGTAGCAACAACTCCTCAAAAAACAGAGTTCTCTGTGAAAAATGTAGTTTCCGAACGAGTTCAGTTCAAAATGACTTGTATTTCAACAATGATAGTGAGTAATTCGAGTAACTGATGATGATGATTTGTGTTTCTGTAATTATGATTATCATTAAAAAAAACTTTTTTTACCTTATAAATTGAATAACCTATTCTATTTGTTAACAATTTAGCTATTTTACATACATACATAATTGTTTTTGGTTCCTGAACTTGCAATACATTTAATTCACATTACTTACTTTTAGGCTTAGAGTGAATTTCTTTTCTTGTCTTTAATAACTATGCTTGTGAAAATACTTACACATTATATATGTGACTTAATAAAATAAGCATAAATACTTGTTCTTAAAAATCCTAGTGTTTTCACTCATTTTCATAGGTTTTAGAGATAAGGAACCAATCTCCTTGGCATATGATCAATATCTCTTTGGGAACGTTTTTTTACACGGTTTTTTCTGGAACAAATCTGCCATGTTCCAACAGAATTAGGAGTACCCTTGTGTAAAACTTAACTACAATATTACTCTTCTGTGGTTTGGGCAGAGGGTACAAAAAGCAGAAAACATTTCTCTGTTTGTTCTATTGTTGTTCTCATAGTCATTGAGCTTTTAAAGTAACACTTTCTTAAGTAATATAGGCTGTTATTTGAATGTTCACAAGATGGCAGAGTCTGTCCTAATTTCTCATTCTCATAACAACACAAGCACATATTCACAAGCGGTTATCTTAATGTGATTGTCAATATTTTCATGGGGACGACTTTGAGGCGCTTGGTCCTGGCAACAATACCATTTGGCCAAGGACACATTCGCTGGAAAGCGAAAGTCTTGACTGACATTGGCCGCCCAACCTTCAACAAGGAAGGGGCGCACACACATTGTCTCTGCTCGTCGGTGCTCACAAACAGCAGAAAGTAGACACATCTGTATGTATGTACATACGAATGTGTACATAGTATAGAACACACATAAATACGTGTGTATTTCTGCCCTTGGCATCTCGGAACAAATCGTTTATGTGTTTCCAGTATACATATTGGTGCTTTTTGCGCTACAAGCTTCACCCCGACTCGCTCAAATATACTTACTTTCGCTCAATGTGCGGGTGCGGGTGTGTGTGAGTGTGCGCGCGTGTGTGTGTGTGTGTGTGAGTGTGTGTGTATCGCCCTTCTGCGATTGCAGCTCGCCGATATTATTGAAATGCCATTTTGATTGGCTTTGATGTCTGCCAAAAGTAATGGTTTCATATTGCTAAATGTTTTATGTGCCGGCGATAAATGCCACAGAGTTGCCGATGCCTGCCATTGGGTTGATGTGATTAAGCGATAAGTAGTCGGCCATGAACCATTTTGTCAAAATGATTGGGTAATTTGCCTTCGCCTGTGTGTTTGCGTAATGCTATTTTTGAGCTTTGATAATTGTATTCCATGTTTACTTCATTGATGTATATACGAGTATGTAGTATACGAGTAAAGAAATAAATAAATAAATATGCTGTATATATACAAATAATATAGTTCCTTCTGACTAACTGATTGGTAATCAACCCACATCCTAAGCTTTAACAGCTAGGAAGCTGCGATTGTGATACAAGTTTGCTTTTATGATGTAAGTAAGCACTAAGGAGCTCTGAAGGGGAAAAAAGATCCGATCGGCTTCAAACTTGGTTTATGTTTTCTAAGAATGACGTTTATTTTATTGAAAGGTCTCTATTTATCCATATACAAGTATGTACCTTAACAATCAGGAACGCATCGTCGTATAGGCCAATCTGCTTCTTAGAAGTGGATACATACTACAAGTATTAGTAAAAATGTCAATAGCGTTTAAAAACAGTTGCCTACTTACTTAAATAAGAATTTTTTTGCAAACTACTTAATATAATGATTTGCTACTACTTAATATAATGATTTGCTTTTAACAATAATTATTATTATTATATTTTTATTTAAACATTAACTCAAATATACGGCCAGATAATGTTGTGTGTAATACGGAATTGAAACAAATCAGAAACAACAAAAAATAGACTTCCTTTAGAGTTAGCCTATCAAGACAAAACTTAACATAGGGACACGTAGCAACAGATTGTTAGGAGAAATCACTAATATCGGGTTACTTGGAAAAAAAAAACTTTTCTTTTTTTAAGAGAATCCTAATACCAAAGTATGGATATTCTAGCTGTTATACTTCGCGAGATTCTTGCGTTTATATTTTATACTGGTCCTTTTGTGCATTCGGACTAAGAAGAATATCCTTTCACCCTGGCACCAAAAGGCACATTTTTTGAACCACAATATTTAAAACATTTTGAAATATATATTTATAATTACAAATTACGTTCAAGGCATAAAATTATGAGAAAGCACCAACTAAAAACTAAGAACTGAGAACGAGCAAAGAAGTTATCTTTGCTCTCTTAACATTCTTAACTCCATTAAGGCGGATGATGCTTTTGCTTTTGATCTATAGTATACAAATCTGGTTATCCATTGTAAGAACGGGCAACCTTCTAAGTAAACAATGTGAATGAAATAACTTAAAGAATTTCATTTAAAGAATTTTCATTAACTTTATCCTTTATCCTTTAAATTGTCGCTCTCGACACACATATGTATTATGTATGCACGGTAGTTTTAAGAAGTGTGGAAGGAATAGTGCCTACGACAGGTATACAGATAGACTCAATATACCCACATCACCTTTCAAACAGTGCAGTGTATTCAAAACTGTTTACTATAGTATACATTTTTAAAATGTATTACATTTATATGCGGCTTCCGGCGTTCAAAGTAATCCCTTCACACTCATTTACTACAAGACAGTTGAGGGCTAACAATGTTTCAGCTTACTTTCCAGAGATGGCAACACACGAATGCTATGCAATCAGCATGCTTGAGCTAAGGATTTTATGTAGTTCTTATCCAATTATACACTTACAGCCATTTGTCAGCGGATATGTCAGATACGTCACCCAGGACTATAGCTGAAAGACGAGCTCACAGCACTATTCACGGAACGAAATGGTAAGGGCAACAGAAAGAGTAAAGGGAAAGGGAATAGCAAAAGCAAAAGCAAAAGCTGCGACAACCGCAACCAAAACCCGGACCGAGACCGAAAACGTAACCACAACCGAATGAAACATATCTTCAAACGTGAGTCAACTGTGCACTTGATGATGAAGAATGTGCACATCATTTCATGGTCGGTGTGCTGCATATGGCAGGCGGGTAGACCCACGCACAAACACGTATACTGCGAGTATATACGGGATTGTCGTGGTTTTCCTCGTCGTTCTGGTCGTCATTGTCAACGCAGTACCACGAATCTGCGTCGAAATGCAGAAACGCTGTAGCCCATCAGTCTTCAGAGTTGTTGTTGTTGCTGTTGTTGTTGCCTGGCCGTCCAACGGCTCGTCAACCAAGTCCGTCCCTGTCAGCAGAAATCCACTTTTGATTATAGTTTTGACACGCCGCAGCGCTTTAATGATAAAAAATGGCGGGACGGCTAAAAGCGACGCGTCGCTGCGAACTTCACGCTCGTCCTGCTTTCTTGCGACTGCTATTCTAATTAGACCTCAAGACGTGGCATTCTCTAAGCTGTCGGCGTCGCGACGCATTTGCATGTTATTGACTAAATTAAGTGGCAAGCAAAATGTGTCGCAATGAGAGAAAGATGCGGCGGAAGTTGTGACAGGCTCATGACGACGTTGTCGCCTAAAGAAAATGAAATGAAATTGAAATTGAAATGAAATGAAATGGCATTTAAAATACGCTTTCAATTGTCAAACCCAACGTATACGTATATAGTATGTGTCTGCTATTAGAACATTGAACATTTGCATGATGGCTTCTAAAATGTGGGTTGTGTTGGGGCAAGAGGGGCCCCAATCACAGAGACTGACAGTTGGCAACAATTGTTTTGAGGCCCAACACGCTACACGTTTCAATTACATGTGCAAATAAGTAGATGGCTGTTAAATAAAATCAAGCCAAAGACATTTCATTTACCAACAGCACCACCACCAACATTACCAACAAAATCATAAAAACGCAAACAACAACAACAACAATAACAACGAATAACGACAACAAATTTGTCAAACGTCAAACTTCGCCATATTTAATTTCCTCTTTTCGAAATTAGTTTTGTGCAAAATGTTAGCACATTTTCCGTTGGACTGTGCACCAAACATTGAGGGGAGCTTATTCAGGCACACATACTCGTACATACTCGTACATGCATCTACATTTTCATTTTTGATTTGTTTTTATTTTTATTTTTATTTTTGCTTGCTGTCATCCAAATTCGTTGTTCTTGTTGTACCCTAGA